TCTCTTATTTTGATTATTGTTCTCATTTGATCCTTCTTGTCTCTCTCTATACATATGTATATATAACTTACGTCAACTATGTCATGTATTTCAGTTTTAAAAAACACTAGCTACTTGTTTTTATTAACAATTACATTGTAAATGAGAATTATGGAATTCCGTCAAAATGGTCAAAGATAGATAAATGTGCATATTGATCAATAAAAACAACTAATAGAGAATAGGAGTATATTTGATCTTTATTGAATAATGGTCTAATGATCACCATTCAAATTGTGTTTTATAACATATGCTTGGATATTTATCCTCTTTCCTTAATATTAAATGTTGTCGGTTCACTTTTTGAAAATAGTCTATAACTTCCAYTCTTATGATGTCATCGTTTGAAAAAATATTCTGAAACATTGTTGTTTTAAAAGTACATAACGTACAAAAGTGACACAACAACAATCATTTAAATTCCGTGAAAATAAAATATGCTTATCATGTCTACATTGATTGTTGTTAGCCATGGCTTAAAATGTTATTATAAGGAATATTACAGAATCATAAGGAATATTTCACAATTTCAGCCATACGTATATTTGAAATGTATACATTGGTCATCCTTATAATATACGTTAAAGGATGACCAATGTATACATTCCAAATATACGTATGGCTGAGATTGTGCAATGATTGTGAAATATTCTTTATGATTTTGTAATATTTCTTATAGTTATAACGTTGCCACATGAGTTTTTAGCAAGAACTTCTAATTATGTATGACGTATTTGTAAGATATGATTTATAGCAAGAATTTCAAATTCAATATGCCAGTTTCACTTTTAATTGCATCTTTAGTTGTAACCACCTCTCTACCGGAGTAGAGGCAAACCTCCCTACATCCTTACCCAATAAGCCTGTCTTGGCGTGGCCGTGTGGGATATCCTCGATTCAACACAACTTGGTTTACATGACACCATAAATGTCTAAATTTCTAACTAGACTACTTTATACGACTTAAATTTATAGGACCAAACATTATACGTCTTATTCAAAAGTGTTACAATAATTTATAAGATGTTTTTGGACGTCTTAACACACTTTTTAGGACTCTTTTATAATGAAGTGTCAACATTATATTTTTTATAAGGCACTTAAGGAAGTATTCTACAAACATGAGGTCGTTTGTTTTTACAAGACACTTTTTCAAATAATTTCATATAGAAAAATCAATGTCCTAATTAGTTAAGATTCTAACAATGTGATATAAACTTATTGTAATAATTTTACAGATATCGCCTAATTGTTTTGTACTTTAAACTTAAAASTCCTATAAAACAGAGTATTAAGACATTTGGACATTTTTTGGCGTCCTGTAGACCCAATTATGTTGTGATTTGGTTTGCTTTTCATCTTTAGTTGTTACTAACACTTTCAATATCCCCCAAAGGATCTCTTTTCAGGAACTTTTCTGAATCCATGTCAACAACTAGTTGCAGTGACTCACCCGACTCAGATCCATGCCGTGATGATAAAACCGCTCTCATCCTTAAATTTGTGGCCATTGCCGCCATTCTTCTTGCCGGAATCATTGGAGTTGCCATCCCGTTGGTTGGCAAGAAMTGGCGGTTCCTCAGAACCGATTCCAATCTATTCTTTGCCACTAAGGCCTTTGCAGCGGGTGTCATCCTTGCCACCGGATTCGTGCACATGCTACCAGATGCAACCGAGGCATTAACGAACCCGTGTCTGCCCGAAACCCCTTGGTCCCAGTTCCCATTTGCAGGTTTCATCGCAATGATGGCGGCTTTGGTCACATTGCTCGCTGATTTTGTTAGCACTCAGTACTATGAGAGTAAACAACAAGTGAAGCAAATCCAAGATGTTCGAGTGGACTCGGTTGATTCTGGTTCAGAATTTTTGATAGGTCCAATGGCGGTAGATGAGAAGGTGTTTGGGGAAGAAGGTGGTGGTGGGATTCACATTGTGGGGATGCATGCTCATGTTGCACACCATAGTCACAGCCACAAACAAGCAAGTGAGCATTTGGAAGGGCATTCACACGCGCACGGTTCCAGTGATGACGATGAGGGCAGTGTTCGGCATATCGTTGTCTCACAGGTACTTTAATTAGTTGATTCTTTTTTTTTTTGGTAACCGTGGGTGTCCGGATCAACGTGTGTGTACCGTGATTAATTCCATGGCCCTTGAAGTTAACAACTACCATTGGCCCTAAGGACTCCTCGAACCGTTGTCTTGCCAATTGAACTGCCTTAATGGTTTATTTTATCAATTCATGGAGAGAATAATTTCATTCTTCCAAAATTTTATAAATGAGTTATCAACTTCTCCGATCAAAGTAATTGGTATTTTTTTTTTTGCAAATTACACCTTGTAAGAGTGAAAATAGTAGAGATGTTTCTGCATGGTTTAACAAGAAAACACTTCTTAATTTTTCTAYATTATATATTATTTGAAAAAAGTGTCTTTAAATGCTTACCGGATAAGACTTTTGGTTCTTGTTATCRCTCTTACCGTGTAAGATTATCAATCCTTGTCATGTTCATCCGATAACGTAAAGTGAGCCATTTAAACATTTATCAGATAAGCGTTTAGTAAAATGGTCCAATACACTTTTTTGGCTCCTATCAACCCGATTTGTTGTAGTTGACGTTATTTTTGTATTTTTATAATAATGATTGCTAGTTTGCAACAAATAACAACTATAGTTGTCCAAATGTCGATAACTCCGTTGGAAACCATCATTTCTGTAAAATGCAACTTCTTTTTAGCATAATTYGAAAATCGGATGACTTTCTTATAATCTATTTCTACATCCGATAGGTGTTGGAACTTGGAATCGTATCACATTCAATCATGATCGGACTTTCACTAGGCGTTTCACAAAGCCCGTGTACGATTAGRCCGTTGCTTGGAGCATTATCATTCCATCAGTTCTTTGAAGGGTTTGCGTTAGGCGGGTGCATCTCCGAGGCTAAACTTGGGGCCCTTCATTCGAGCGTAATGGCATGTTTATTTGCAGTAACGGCTCCTCTAGGTGTGGCTATAGGGAYCGTTATCTGCTCGTTTTACAACCCGAATAGCCCCAGAGCTTTGGTTATTGAAGGGATATTGGATTCCATATCTGCAGGGATTTTAGTTTATATGGCTTTGRTTGACCTAATTGYTGMTGATTTCATGAGCAAGAAGATGAGATGCAATCCTAGGCTTCAAATGGTGTCCTATTTTGCACTGTTTCTTGGGGCTGGATTAATGGCACTTATTGCAGTTTGGTCATGATATATCATTTATTCTGAAATGATGTCGCTTGGTGGAATATTCTTTAAACTTATAGGTCCCATAACTATTATGGGAAGATAAATCATATGTTTTGTAACATTGTGTCATTATATATTATGTACTT